GAAGGCGAGCCAGGAAAGAAGGGGGGGCGAAGCAAACAGGACAGGTCAGGGAGGGGAAAGGAAGTGAGCGGAGCCGGTTCTGGCCTGGGTGCCCGCTTTCGCCATGCAGTTGCACAGGGATTCAGTAGCGGGAAGGAGGGAGGGAGGGAAGGAGGGAGGGAGGGAGTTTGGTTTGGCGGAGGAGGTTTTGCGCAGGGGAGGCCGATCTCAGTCTGCGGGACTCGGAATAGGCACAGGGAAGGGATCGCGGTCCCTCAGGTCTACGGACGGCGGAATGAAAAGGCTTCTCTTCAAGCCCCGGGGGAGGCTGAGACCCCCCCGGAAAATTTCGGAGGTAGCCCCCGCCCCTCCGCCCCCCTGAACTCTACGCCTATGTCACCGTCGATAGGTCTTGGGGGGAAAGATAGGGCTTCAGTAGCCAGATCTGCCTAAGATGAACCCGACAAGAATTTCTCCTGTAAATGCTTCCCCCCCCAATCATTTTAAAACTCCTTTAAGCAGGGTGGGGTGCTGTAGTTGACTAATTCCTGCACTGAGCCGGGGGTTGGAGTAGGTGACCTCTAGGGCCCCTTCTAACTCCGTGTCAAGAAACTGGTCTCCCTTAAGGTCCTTTCCGCACTTGGATCTCATCCCTGGTTTTATCCGAGTTCAACTCGTGACCCAATACCTTGCATTTATCCCTGGTTATAACAGCACCCGTTTATCCCGGAACAAGTGTGGGGCAAAACCGGGGTGACCGTAATGTAATGTGGAAACAAAAAATACCTTGAGATAATTACAGGGGTGAATTCACGTGTTGTGTAGAATGTAAGTTTGGGGACAGGGTTGAACCAGGATCTAAGGTCTAGTGCGGAAAGGACCTAAGAGAGTTTTCCCGTCTAAGTGTTAGCTTTCTTAACTATAAAAGTTATCACCCCCACCTGCTGGCTTGTTGGAATTGTTGCTTAGGCTGGCAGAAGTGATTAATTTGCAGCAGCTGAGAACTGCCATCTAAACTCCTGGACAGCTTGCAATTTAGAGATCTACCCTGGTCACCGCTTTCTACTGGCTACGTGGCTTTCCTTTCTGCACTGAGAACTTCAGCCCCACCAGGAAAAAAATTTGCTCCACAAGCCACAAAATCCCGGCTGCGGGCCTGAGATCCGCACAGTCTGCTCAGGTGGGCAGCGTCTCTCCAGGGTCTCAGGCGGAGGTCTTTCCCAATCCCCTACTGCTTGGCCCTTTGAACTGGAGAGATGCAGGGGACTGAACGGGAGACCTGCTGCATGCAAAGCAGACACTCTACCCCTGAGCCACGGCCCCCGGGACAGGCACCTCATCTGTGCACCAAATACCCAATCAGGGCTTAGGGGTGGTGGTCTAAGCAATCATTTACGGTATTTGGGCAAGGATGAACACGATTAATATACACGTATGCACTTGGGACACGTAGGACAGCCTGTTCCCTCCCCCACACCATTTTCCAATCAGGCACCTAACTTAAGACCAGTGTTCCCTCTAAGCTGAGTTAGTGTGAGCTAGCTCACAGTTTTTTAGCCTCCGGCTCACACATTTTTGTCTCAGCTCGGGAAGGGATGGCTCCAGAGCAAACTAATTTATGCAGTAGCCAAATCATTTGCTCACAACTTTAATGCCAGGAGCTCACAAAGTAGAATTTTTGCTCACAAGACTCCACAGCTTAGAGCAGTGTTCCCTCTAAGCTGAGTTAGTGTGAGCTAGCTCACAGTTTTTTAGCCTCCGGCTCACACATTTTTGTCTCAGCTCGGGAAGGGATGGCTCCAGAGCAAACTAATTTATGCAGTAGCCAAATCACTTGCTCACAACTTTAATGCCAGGAGCTCACAAAGTAGAATTTTTGCTCACAAGACTCCACAGCTTAGAGCAGTGTTCGCTCTAAGCTGAGTTAGTGTGAGTTAGCTCACAGGTTTTTAGCCTCCGGCTCACACGTTTTTGTCTCAGCTCAGGAAAGATTGCTACAGAGCAAATTCATTGATGCAGTAGCCAAATCACTTGCTCACCACTTTAATGCCAGAAGCTCACAAAGTAGAATTTTTGCTCACAAGACTTCACAGCTTAGAGGGAACATTGGCTTAGAGGGAACATTGCTTAAGACTGGTCACGTCCCCTGGTAGCCAGGCGGCCACCCAGTGGCTCGTATCTTCCTCGCCTTGGAAAGGTAAAGTTTGTCGCTTGGGGGGAGGCAAGTCACAAACCTTACCTCCCTAAAGGGAGGCTGGGAGGGATACCAACCATGATCGTTGTAATATATCCAGTCAGACCACGTGGCCGGCTAGGGCTCCACGCGGTCAAGCACAAACGTCGAGCTTCGCTCTTAGAGACAATAGACTATGCGGATCCTAGCCCGCACCAATCAGGGGGCTAGGTCCCGGCCGAGAGCCTATGGAACTCTCGGCCCCTGTAAATAACCTATTGGGAAGTGGGGGGGGTGTTATGGGTGGCGGTTTTCACGGGGAATATAAGCCGGCCTGTGAGTCGGCAAAAGCTGTCTTATTCCTGATCGAATAAAGTACGCTTTGCTGAAATCACTCTCCGTCTGCGTGCTTTTCAATCCTCTTCAAGCAGAGGAAGAATTCCCAGCAAATTCCTCTCCCCAGACTTCCCCGGCGTGCGTGACGTCCGTGCCATACTTTTCTTGGCCTTCTGATTCTACTGACTTGGGGGGAAAAAGAGGAGGAGGAGGAGGAGGAGGAGATTGGATGTATACCTCGCCCTTCACTACACAAGGGAGTCTCAGAGCGGCTTACAAACTCCTTTCCCTTCCCCCTCCCCACCACAGACACCCTGTGAGGTAGGTGGGGCTGAGAGAGCTCAGACAGAAACTGCTCTTTTTTCAAGAACAGCTGTGCCAGAACTACGGCTTGCCCAAGATCATCCAGCAGCTGCAAGTGGAAGAGTGGGGAATCAAACCCAATTCTCCCAGATTAGAGTTCACGCACTGAACCACTACACCAAACTGGCTTCCCTACATATTTAACGAGAGTGTTATAAGGTAACAGCGTTCCGTGCGCCTTGGTGTTTAGTCATGCCGGCCACATGACCACGGAAACGTCTTCGGACAGCGCTGGCTCTTCGGCTTTGAAATGGAGATGAGCACCGCAACCCTAGAGTCGGATTCGACTGGCTTTCGAGCAAGGGAACCTTGACCTTTTATAAGGCTTAGCAGCTCATATCTCAACCCACTTTGTCACAACTTTTGAAAGCTGTTGTAGTGTCGTGGCTAGAGCACTAGACTAAGAACCAGGTTCAGAACCCCATGCTGCCACGGAAACTCACTGGGGGACCTTGGGCCAGTCACACCCTCTTGGCCTAACCTACCTCACAGGGTTGTTGTCATGAGGATCAAATGGAGGAGAGGAAAATGACGTTAAGTGGGGTAGAGATGAAATCAATTTATAGAAACTTGGGGATCTATAAACTTGGGCAGCCTTGTTCTAAATTAACTGCCGCCTGCTGAATGCTCTGTTGCGGCAAGACGCGGTTCTTAAAAGTCAGCTTACGGGCAGATCGTTTTCTATGTGGGTCAGCAAGATGTCGACGCAGAGGAGCACTCCGCTCCTGCCGATCCCAGCGCTGCAGTGGGCGATGAGGGGCCCGGTCTTGCAGACTTTCCTCATGAAGCGGACAAACCTGATGAGGTGCTCTGGCGATCGGGGGGTGCCGTGGTCCGGCCAGGAGGTAAACTGGAGGTGGTGCACCATGCGCTTCTCCTGCGTCTGCAAAGACAGGAATCCGAAAGCGCGCGTGGACTAGAACCGTCGATGCTGGCAAAGCCAATAATAATAAAAAAAACTAAAACGGGACTTGGGGGGGGGGGAGATGGATGGCTGCTGTGGCCAGTTTGCTAATGATATTTTGCAGAGAGGGACGCTTAAGAACATAAGAGATGCCAATGTTGGATCAGGCCAAAGGCCCATCCAGTCCAACACTCTGTATCACACAGTGGCTAGAAATACCAGATGCCATCAGGAGGTCCACCAGTGGGGCCAGGACATTAGAAGCCCTCCCACTGTTGACCCCCCCCCCCCAAGCACCAAGAAGACAGAGCATCACTTGCCCCAGAGCCCCTATCTATACCTTGTGGCTAATAGCCACTGATGGACCTCTGCTCCATATGCTTATCTAATTCCCTTTTGAAGCCGTCCATGCTTGTAGTGTGAGTTAGTGTGAGCTAGCTCACAGATTTTTAGCCTGTGGCTCACACATTTTTGTCTTGGCCCAGGAAGGATGGCTCCAGAGCACACTAATCTATGCAGCACCAAATCGCTCATAAGAACATAAGAGAAGCCAATGTTGGGTCAGGCCAATGGCCCATCCAGTCCAACACTCTGTGTCACACAGTGGCTAGAAATACCAGGGGCCACCAGGAGGTCCACCAGTGGGGCCAGGACATTAGAAGCCCTCCCACTGTTGACCCCCCCAAGCACCAAGAAGACAGAGCATCACTTGCCCCAGAGTCCCTATCTATACCTTGTGGCTAATAGCCACTGATGGACCTCTGCACCATAAGCTTATCTAATTCCCTTTTGAAGCCCTCCATGCTTGTAGCCGCCACCACTTCCTGTGGCAGTGAATTCCAAGTGTTCATCACTCTTTGGGTGAAGAAGTACTTCCTCTTATCCGTTCTAACCCGACCGCTCAGCAATTTCATGGAGTGCCCACGAGTTTTTGTATTGTGAGAAAGGGAGAAAAGTACCTCTTTCTCTACCTGCTCTTTCCCATGCATAATCTTATAAACCTCGATCATGTCACCCCTCAGTCATCGTTTCTCCAAGCTAAAGAGCCCCAAGCACTTGAACCTTTCCTCACAGGGAAAGTGTTCCAACCCCTTTATCATTCGAGTTGCCCTTTCCTGCACTTTTCCCAAAGCTATAATATCCTTTTTAAGGTGTGGTGACCAGAACTGCACACAGTATTCCAAATGAGGTCGCACCATTGATTTATATAGGGCTATTATGATATTGGCTGATCTGTTCTCAATACCCTTCCTAATAATCCCCAGCGTACATCGGTTCCAAACTGGTGATCAGATACGACGGGGTTTCTGTCACGCTCTAAACGTGCCACCCTGACCTGGATAACCCAGGCTGGCCTGGTCTTGTCAGATCTCAGCCCTAGTTAGCAGTCGGATGGGAGACCACCGGGCAAGCCCAGGGTCGCTACACGGAAGCGGGCAATGGCCAAACACCTCTACACATCGTCTCCCCTGACCTGGGGGGCCCAGGCCGGCCCGGTCTCGTCAGATCTTGGAAGCCAAGCGGGGTCGACCACGGTTAAAACTTAGTTGCGGGGGTCATTTCCTAGAAAAAGAGGTGCAGGGGCCCATTTGCATAACTCACTGGCCTCGGCCACGCCCCCTGGCAAAGGGCAGGCATGTGTAAAATGAGTTAAGGCAGATGCAAGGGGGGTTTAACCCCCCCCCCAATTCCCTGAGTCTCTCCGCAAAAGTGGAGAGGCTCAGGGGGAAAGGGGCCATGTCTGCCTGCCTCGCCTTCCTCACTCCAGCCGCGGCGGGCTGGCTGGAGAAGGGAAGGGAAGGGAGGCAGGTATGCCCGGGTTCCCTGCTCGATCTTGGGCATTTAGCCAGGCATTTAAATCCCCCCCCCGAGTCTCTCCGCAAAAGCGGAGAGCCACAGGGGGAAAGTGTTGTAAAATAGTCAAAAAGTGTTTAATACTTAGACTATCAATGGATCTTGCTCTATTGGAAAGAAGAGATTTCTTTGCTATTAAAAACCTTTATTTCTAAGGGCAGAAGGCGCACGGGATTACTACAAATAAACATAACACTAACAGCTACATTTTCTAAGCGGCCTATAGTCAACACTAGCACACAGATAATGGAGAATCTCTCCTTCTTCTCGACCCCTAGAAAGGAAGTCACCTGAAACAAATGACCAATCCGTATCACAGTAGAGAGCTATTTTCCCCCGGGCTAATTCCCCATTGGCTCAGTGCCAGGTATCCCTTCCAGGTCAGTCTAAACAATAGCAATACTAGGCAAACAAGTTAACCCTATAATGACTGAATTGTCAGACCTTGTAAACACATACATTTCCAACAGAAAGGAGGGCATGTCTGCCCGCCTCCCCCTCTGCAGCCAACCTGCCAGGCCACCTGGAGAAGATCGGGCTGGGAAGCCAGGCATTTAATTCCCCCCCCCTCACAGGGCGGGCCTGGGCTCTTTACTGCCGGAGCGCCGCTCTGGGGCACTCGGGCAGGAAATGACCCCTGCTTAGGTGGGAGGCCACCGAGGGAGGCAGGCAGTGGCAAATCACCTCTGTTTGGTCCCTTGCCTTGAAAACCCTACGGGGATCGCCATGAGTGGGTTCTGGTTTGACAACACATTCCTCCACTGCCGCCTAGCTGCCGTTTTTCAGTTTGTTACCCAGATCGTACCGTGCGCCGTCCGAGTGCCTTACCCTCTTGTTTGTGATTTCTATTATTCTAATGATAAAACAATTCAGGATCTGATAGTTATCCAGTCGCAGCTGAAACCGAAGCAGATCCAGAGACGTGTGGGGTGGCTCGGGCCAGTACCGATGGCATTTGGACGCCCCGCGTTCCGTTTCCCTTGTAATCATGGCGATGACGTTGGAGTGGTTCTCCCACACCATTTGCCAGAAGTCATTCATCGTGCACGGCAGAGGGCCCTGGGCGGAGATGTAGAAGAGCTCCTCTTTGCCCACTTGCACATGGATGTAGCTAGCATTGATGTATCCCTTCGTCTCCCCAATGGGAACTCGCGTCTCATCATCTAGAATGAGAGAGAGAGAGAGAGAGAGAGAGGCCCTAGATCAGTGGTGGCGAACCTATGGCACGGGTGCCAGAGTTGGCACTCAGAGCCCTCTCTGTGGGCACGCGTGCCATCGCCCCAGCCAGGCCCAGACCACCATTAAAGTGTCAAATTCTCTGCCAAATAATTTTAAGTAAATAAAAGCATTTGGGATTGCTTTCCTTACTTTGTTTGGATCATCTTAAGTCAATGTATGAGTTGTTTTTTCTAAAGTAAAACCTCAGTATTCAGGCTAAATTGCCATGTTGGCACTTTGCGATCAATAAGTGGGTCTTGGGTCGCAGTTTGGGCACTCGGTCTCTAAAAGGTTCGCCATCACTGACCTAGATGTTTCTGCCCTTCTTTTGTTGCCCTGCAAGCACCTTGTGCAGTTTTTATAAGACTATGGACTTTGGTTGTGAGCTGAACTGTATAATAAATATGCCAGGGACTGAACTGTATAGTAGCCCGATGATGGTGCCAACCTCCTGGGCTGTAGACATGTGCCCAGCCGAGGGAAGCCTCGCCCGGAAGCAGTGTGCCAGCCAGACGTGGATAGAGATGTGAAGGCCTGGGGGGAAAAACGGAAAAATTTGGGGAAGAAAACGTTCCCCCCCCCGAAAAACTGGAAAAATTTAGAAAAGAAAAAAAAATGATTATGGAATGTTTTATTTTAACATGATGAATAAAATATTTTTAAGACAAGGTGTTCAAATATTTTCCAAATCATTTCTAAAAAATAGGTATGGTGTCAGATTGATCTAATTTCTGTGCACTGAGGACAAGCAAGTCCTAGATTACAAACTGAACTCTCCAATGCAAGAACAAGATGCATTTCTTCCTTTAGGAGGTGCTGTTGTCACAAGAAAAGAGAAAGGTTTCCGTTTTGTTTTTGCATGCGGGTGGGTATTCTGTTTGTAATAATTGTTTGGATACACTCTATTTTTAATAAGCTAGTTGTGATCATTTCATACCAAGCAAAAATGTCCATAGTCACATTTTATGTTCCTAAAGTAACAGAATGACTTTCAGTCTGGAAAAGGAAACAAAAAGTGCTAATGTGGCATTTTTTTTTTCAATTTTCCCGAAAATTTCAGTTTCCCCCCGGAAAAAAAACACGTTTTTTTCCTGGACTTCAAAATTTCCAGAACTTTTACATCTCTGGACGTGGACCGATGGTGCTCCTCATCCCTGCGTCCCTGCAGGAGACGAATCAACCTCCCTGATGCCAGAAATAAGCAGCAGCCAGCAAGCAGAAGCCGTGCTTTACACCAGAAGCCTGAGTGTTCCTGCAAAGGACTCCACTGAAGGACTTCTTTTCCAGGACGCAGGCAGCCTCCCCTCCCACCTTCCCCCAGCTTTACTGCATGTACCCATCCTCATGTTAAACAACAGAACTTGGCCGTGATAAGATTACCTGAGCAGCCAAGCACACCCACCACCCATCAAGATAATGATGATCAGGGCTTCTTTTGTTAAAAAAAGCCCAGCAGGAACTCATTAGCATAATAGGCCACACCCAACAGCAGAAACTCATTACCATATTAGACCACACCCCTGACAGCACAGCTCAATAGCAGATTAGGCCACACCCCCATGTTACCAGAAGTAACCTTTTGCTTCTTATTCTGTTTACCTTGTTTGTGGTCAAAACCCAGGGCCTTTTTTTGTAGCAGGAACTCCTTTGCATGTTAGGCCACACACCCCTCATGTAGCCAATCCTAATGAGTTCCTGCTGTTGGGTGTGACCTATTATGCTAATGAGCTCCTGCTGGGCGTGGCCAACTCGGGAGCCAGCCAGAACTCCGTTCCTGTGCGTTCCTGCCCAAAAATAGCCCTGAGATGATGCAGATCACTGGATCTTTGGCTAACCAAGCAGGGGCGTAGACTTTCCAATTTCCCGGGGGGGGGCTGGGGCTGGGCACAAGACAGTGGTAGAACCTCCATGGACAATATAGTCTTCATCGCACCGTCCGGGGCGCAGCCCGCTCGCCATGGACCAGCCGAGGAAGCGCCGCAGCGGCAGCCGGGTGAGCCAGGCAGGGTGCTGCAGCAGGCGGAGAGGAGAGGCGAGGGGGGAGGCAGAGGAGCAGGAGGCGGCGCTGCGGAGGAAGCCGCCGAAGCCGCGTGGGATGGGTGGGGGGGGGACGGAGCTGCCGGCTGCAAAGCGCCTGGATGCGGGGAGAGGGGGGGGGGGGAGGAGGAGGGAGGCCCCGCAGCAGCAGGAGCAGGCCCGAGGCGGCCGGGGCTCTCCACCCCCGCCGGGGGGGCCCCACGCCTGCTCTCCTGCTTACCCCAGCAGCAGTCCTGCTCGCCTCCCGGCACAGGAGGATTCCTTTAAAATAACAC